AACAGAAATCCAGACTTGTGCCCACTGGATTCTGGCAGCCTTGTCCTCAAAAGGACACAGTGAGGGTATTTACTACCATTGTCAAATGTCTGGGGAGCAGAGGGGTAGCCCTGGTGGAGATTCACTGAGTTCCAAAGATGTGGGTTTACCTCTGTCACTAGCTACTCTACCCGGAGTAATGCTCAAACTCTCAGCCTGTTTCTCCTCTCTTTGGCATATTTTGGGCATAAATTAAGTACACGTTTTTAGAATAGAAACAAGACAATAACATTTTTCATCATGATGCAGTGTATGCACTCAGCATGGAACATGCTATTACACATTATTACTATTTCATTTACCACTGCTATCATTGACATTAGTACTTCCTCATAGCCCTTATTAAAAAAAATGAGCTTACAAAGGAAAAATGCTTTCTCGAGTGTCCAGAATATTTGCATTTTAATCTGCTCCCAAATATTCTTAGTCACATATCAGATTACTAATTTCCCTAAGAATAACCATTTCTTGGCCTCCAAGTGCAGATTCCCTCTATGCTTCTCCTCACATCTTCTAAGATAGCACTAATGGGAATCAAAGGTTCTTAAAAATTTTACTTCCTTTTTGATGGATTATTATTATCTAACCCCCATCATTATTTTCTCTCAAAACTTACAGCATGGAAAATTGCTGTCAAAATGGCATTTGCTTCCTGTAATAATATTGTGAACCAAGAGAATCAGCATATAATTCACAAACAAGAAATTTAACTAGAAATGTATTACTGAGCACTGTATTTTACTCTTGAATTAATTCTTGCAAAAGTCAAAGAATGCCATTTCCTGCTGAGAAATTAGCAAAGCAAAAGTGATAAAGACGTCATAACAAGGACATAGAGGCTAGGCCTGTAGAGATGCCTGGGGTAATGGAGAGGGTAAAATCTGTCATCTCTGCCTTCTTTGCTACCTACCTCTTCCCTTAGCACTTTGGGGCAGCTCTCTGCTCAGAGTTACTTCAAGACATGCTCTTCTTCTCTTAAGTGTTTGTTTAAAAGCTTGTAAGACACCAGTTTAAGAGTAAGTAAGGTATTTCCAAGTTTTGCCAGGAAGTTCAGTGTCTGGCTTTTACAACGTCTTTTTCCAGAATTCCCAGATGGACTACCATATGTCTCCATAATCCTTGTCTAAAACCAGCAGTCACCTCAATCCCAGGAAAAGCAGGGCCTGTCAGACATTCATGACGTGAGGGAACTGAGATCATCCTGGAGGCACAGGAGCAATCCTCTCATGAGAAACAGATTTTACCCTTCAAACAAGAGTTTTCTGACAGTCAGAAACAGTCTACAAACCATAACAGGCCAGATTGCATCTTGATCAGGATTACCTACGCTGCCAGCTGAGCAAGCCCCAGTCACACAAATCCCCAAACATTGCTTTTGGTGGCCTTTACTATGATACCTCAAAGGTTCTCACATCCCCTTAAAGTCAGATGTTGAATCTCTTCATCAGTCATTTTCCAGTGTGGCCAAGCTGACTAAAGCTCCTGTCTCTACCATTCATCTTCTTGATTGGTGTTCTGCAGTGGGTGGCCATGCTTGGTCTATTGGATCCTTCAGACCCAGGGCTTTTGTCATAAAAATCTAGTAATGATAAAACAAAATTGGCCATCACCAACATGGCCTATTGGCCCTGAAACTGACAGATGTCTGAGCAAAAGCAATTTGTTTAACTCATTCTGGTCCTTCAATTTTTTTCTGATGCTAGGGTCAGAACTCAGGGCCTTGTACATGCAGGAAAAGTGCTGTATCACTGAGACACATCTATAGCCTCCAATCTGGTGAATCTGCTCAGAGAGCTCCTTGCATCTAAGCCAATTACATGTAGAATGCAATGGCTTAGTACCTATAGCTCTCCACTACCCCTTTCTATCTTCCTGAGTGTTCTTAAATGTCTTCCTATTATATTTCTTATATCTGTTTTCTCCTTGACAGTCATAGAATGTGTAATCTTAGCAAAGCACATCATATGTCAGAGACAAAATATCTCATGTGTAGAGGAGGGTGCCAGAATATGCTACTGCAAAATGTTCTTTGACATACAGATTTTGAGCTAAAATCACTGAGAACCAGTAAATACACAAACAACTCAGCAGACCAGGGCACAGATTTTCCTATTGCATAAATGTCTCCCTCTGCTGTTCAGAAAGACTGCTCTAGCCAACTCTTACCAATAGTGCACCCTTACTAACCTTGTGTTTCATGGTTTTCCTGGTCACCGTCCCATGAAGTACTTCCTCCATTCAAAAGCCCCAGATTCCTTTTCTCTCAGCCTAATGTGATATAGAAGCTTAGAGTCTAAATATCCCCATATGTTACTAATTTGGGGGTGCCCCACATGGGAAATTGATGATGTCTATGCTAATAAACCTGTTTTCCTCTTGTAAAACCCATTTTTGTTATACAGTCCTGCTGAGAACCTAAAAGAAATACAGAATATATGGTCACGCTTTTCCCTGTTCTCATGCACAATGGTAGGAACACAAAAGATGCTATCCTTATACCCTTTCTGGGGCTCTGAAGAAAGGGCCCATTGAGACTCAAGCTTCTCTGTACCAATATCCAAAATGTGAGGTCCTGGTGGACTGTAATGAAAAGAGAAAGAAAAAAGAAATAAAGTCACAGCCCCCAAGGTCTTTCGCATGCTGGAAATGCCTAGCTGGTCACTTCTTGCTTGTAATTCTGATCATCGCAACTCTTAATCACATGAAGACGGGCAAAGCACAGCAATGAATACAACATTTTAAATTGTTTGTAACAGCAAACCATAGGAAAGACCTCGAATGTCTGTCTACTTGCAAGGTAATGCATGAAAACACTGTAGCGTGGCCACTTTGCGAACTACTATGTGACCACCTCACCTGAGTATGCGGCAGCTGTACAGCAAACAGAAAATGCAGTCATCATGTGCTAGACAAATAAGAAGGGCATGGTTCAGTGTGTGTGTGTGTGTGTGTGTGTGTGTGTGTGTCTGTGTGTGTGTGTCTGTGTCTGTGTGTGTGCACACGCATGCATAAGCACTCTGCCTGTAACACAATTCTGTAAAATGAATAGCAACTTGCAGAGACCCTTTCCTAAACTCCCTTGTTTCACCTTAGGCAACAGAAACCTTAGTCTCATCAAACAAACGCTTTCACTGATCTCCTCTACCCAGAGAAAAAGACACAGACATCAAGTTAGCTTAAGGATGCATTCCTGGGATGACCCCTGACTCGTAAGGTGCCTGCATAAAAACAAAAAGACACAAAACTCAAGGCTGGAGAGAGAACTTAAAAGTTTGTTTTAACCAGCAACTGATAGGCCATTCCTTTTTCTAAAGTACTCATGAAAAGCCTTATAAGTAGGAGCATGCATCTCCTCTGCCACAGGAGTTCTGTCACAAGGCCCCGAAGGCCATGGCTTTGGCGTGTTGTTCACAAAGGACAGGGGATTTGTCCCCGAGCTCCATGAGGACAGAGCACAAGCTCCAGCACTATTGCAGACCCAGCACCTGATGGCATGTACACTGATCAGATCTTCCCTTTGCTCCTTTTCAGCTTCTCACTCTGAACCTTCCCTGCCTGCTTTTCCCTTCCCTCCCTCATCCTTTGCAAGGCCCAGCCACTTCCTTTCATATGAGTTGACCCCTTTCCCTGTTTCCATGCTCTCTGATTGGTGGAAATCTGTCCTTGTTGCTTCCACAGGGTCCAGCTTTATTCATCTTGCACTGCACTAGTTGCCAAGTCACTGAAACAACCTCCATTGCCAGCCTTGTCTAAGGACCCTGGAGCACCCTCATTAGAACTCATTAGCCAAAGCATTCTTGGGTGTTTCTGCAAAGAACAATTGCCAAATATTGCCATGAATAAAAGTTGAATGAAATTTTGCTGGAAAGCAATTCTGATTTATGAATTGCACATTCAACCATCTAAGTCCATCTGGTATGTACATCATAATGGTGACTTTTTGGGTAATGAATTCTTAGAATCACAAATGCTGTATGAATTTCCATTGATGCAAGCAATTGGATGAGTGTGAATGACTCCTGTGTGATTGCTTATTATATTCAAATACTAGGTTTACACAGTGGCCTCTCTTCCTTCCTTTAGTGCCTCAGAATCTAGAAGCATAATCACACATGAAGGCAAAGAATCGCTACCACAGAAGGAATATTTTCAGTGTGGACTAGATAGGAATCTCTTCTCTTTAACTTAGTGTTTTGCAATACAACTCAGAAATTAAGACTTTTCAAAGAATCTTGGGGAAGAATTTGCATTGAAATTTATGTTATACTGTCCATAGAAGAGCTAGTGTTAGAAGGACGGACTTTGGTAGCTCAACTCTCATGCTTAGCCCTCGCCTCTCTGTACCCCAAAATCTGGAGTGGCCTGCAGGTTAGCTAGCACTCCAGCAATTTTAAGGCTCTGTTCTTTCTGCATGTTTCTGTCTCTCACTCATAGTCCTTTGACTACTGGATGATGCCCAGTGAAAGCCTGACCATATGCGAGCAGCCCCAGCTGCTTCACCTTTCTCTTGCTGATTTCTTCCTCTTGGCCTCAGCTATAGCAGGAACAGTCACAGCTCACCACACATTCCTCACATCCCGCTGATAGTGGTTGCATTTCTTTTTCTATGTAAATTTGCACAAAGCAAAGAGCATTGCATGCCTGGTGCTGCACACTATTTCTCATACAAAGCAAATATTTGGAAGTGTTTAGGGACCGACCAACTGAAGCCCTTATATCTACTGGCCATCAATTCACATTTGGATTCAAATCGGCAGTTGAAATGTAATTATATTCTTTCATCTGATGTACACATAGGCATGTAATATGCACGCTAGCACTTACATACTTGTGGGATGATTTCTGCAAAGATCTGTATAAAGTACTGAAAAATACACAAGTGTGACTGTAGACTCCTTCTCCCTTCTTAGCTACGGGCTCTCAGATGGGCCCTAGGAGGAAGGGATGGGGTTGTGACTCACGTTTTGCAGCTGCACATGGCCCTTCACCAAGCTCTCTGGCTTTGACATCATGCTGGATGCTTTGAGACTGTAGTTTTTACCATTTTGTGACTCTCTCAGTTGCTCTTGGATCTGTTTAGCTTGTTTCCTGCAGGTATAAACATATGCATAAGGATTTACATACGCTTGTAGTTGGCTTAATTTTCGAGGTCCATTCATTCCCGATGGCTACAATTATCATGGCCACAATGAGATAAAGTTATTTAATAAAGAGCCCTTCTCTCACTTCCAACCCTGCCAAGAAATATTTTCAATCAAGAGAAAAGCTGGTATGATTTAGTCTCCTCCAGGGATTTATGATCAATGGCACTCCAAAGTCAGCTAGGAACGTAGCATGTTTTCCTAACTTCCATGGTTGCAAAAGGTCCCTGACCCTAAGTGCTAAGCTACAAAGAGTTTGAAATGCTTAAGAGAAGTTGCTGACAGCCCCATACCACTTATTACAGAGGCATATTTACATTTATTCAATATCGACATGTGTGGCTTACATACACAGCTTACAGAGGTATAAAATTGTGTGTTTTCTGTCTTTCACTGTCTAGACAGAGTTCATTTATTATTAGCAACAGTCCAAATAATAAAAAAATCACTTTTTTAAACCTTGTGGTTACATAGTAATGTTCAAATATACCATTTAAGTATTTTATAAGTATTGACTCATTCACTTTTTAAACAATGATTCTGATGAGCCAATAGTATATCCATTTAAAAGATGATAAAATTGAAGCACAAACAAGATAAAGCATTGGCCCAATACCACAGAATCAGAAATAGGGACTGACTTTCATCCCATACCCATGGGTGTATATTGTCCACTCAGAATTGCCATTGCCAAGCCACTTACATATAGCCCCTCAGCTGCTAAGAGGAGAGGCTGAGATTAGTCTAGATTTTTGACTTCCAAGTAAAGTGTTCTTGCCTGCTGGGTGGAGTGCCTATTGCCTGGGTCCATTGGTGTGTACAGCAGAGTAGAAAACTACTGTTTGATGAGCTTCTCTGCCCTGAGAGCTTCCCAGCAACTATGCTCAGCATGAGGAGCAGCACTCACAGAATCGTCTTAGCAGAGGCCTCTCTTTAAAGCATGCCTCTGCCCCAGGTTCTTGGGCTAGGAGAAATGCTGCTGGACTGCATCTCTACTCTACAGTGAGATTCTCAGGCAAGAAACCCTCCTGGAAGATGTGTGCTGGAGTCTCAGTGGTGGGGTTTGAACCCTGACTCTGTCAGTCAGCAGTATCACTACCCAGTGATTAATTAAACCTTGAAGAACTTGGGTTTCTTCATCTACACATGGAGCTCATGAGAGAGCTGTCTTCTGTGGCTACTGTGACAACTGAACACAAGAGGACAAGCAAACTGCTTCTTTTCTTTTTCAATTAGCAAGAAGCTTAGGCAGTCTTGCGGTCAGATGCATCAGAGGAATTAAGTCCCTGGGGCCCAATGACAAAAGAATAAAAATAAAAATAAAAATTGCACCAATATAATATTTTTACACTCATTGGTATTTTCTAAAGAATGTGGAAGTTATGCACATTGATTTCTCATTTGAACTTATAACGCCAGTGCTATGTTTGTTTAAATATTTCTTTTAATGATTTAGTAATGTGTGGGAATCTTATCTCCAACACTTTCAGTTGTTTTAATCCAATTGTAATAATCTTAATTACTCAGCTGTAGCTTATTATTAAAATTAAGTCTATCAGGTCCTCATTTAAGAAGCACATGGTGGTCACATAATCCTACCCAGAATCCATTCAAGAAGCAAATGGGAAAGCAGTGGGTGCTGGCCAGGAGAATCACTACAAAGCAATAAAACAGTGTGTGGCACAGAATCAGGACTCGGTTCCTCTCCTAAGTATTGAAGGACAGAAACACTATGTTTTCCATAGTCCCACAACTCGGAGTTGGAAGGATAAACTTCTAAGGATATGTTCCTCCTGAAAGCATCTGAACATGTTTTCTAAGCCCTTGTGTAGAGTGTCTTCCTTCTGTCGCATTGCAGTTCCAACATGGTCTTTTTCCAAGCTAAGTGGACTTTTGTTTGAGAGCCTATTTTCTCCGATCCTAGGTACACACTCTTTGGCACCTCCTTCCTCTGCTCAGGGAAGATGAGTGGGCAACATCTGACTACAACTCTATTAGCGCTTTCTCAGGGCAAGTTTCTCTCTGGGGGACAAGACCATGTGCATTGTACTTGAAAATGCTCCTGGCCCAAGGCCAGTGTTCTAAGTTTCACAGTTTTAACTCTTCACAAGCCATGAGCTTTTTTTCTCTGGCCCAATGCATTAGAAAGAAAAGTGGTGGATATTTTGGAACAGTATGCATTACAAGCTTGTGGGCTGACAGTATCTTTTGTATAATAGGTTGAGTTCCCAAGGAAGTAGGGATGGAGATAGCATACAGGAGTATTATTAGGGACAAAGTTGGGGGCCAATGCCTAAACAAAGTAGGAAAATAGGATTGCGTAGCAGGAGAAGTTTGAATAGGACCAAGTCTCCATGAAGGCCTCAAGGAACCCATAGAGGGGCTCTGAATTTGGCTCCATCTTGTACTTCAATTTGAGGCAAAGATCTTGTTTTCCAAACCTCACCTTACCTGTGATTGGAGCTAGGTTATCAGGAACAGGGCAAGTGATTGATGGAGGCTATCACCTGACACTTCCAGGATTTAGACCTCCTGTGCTAACAGCAATCCCAGCAGTGCCTTAGAGTGTCCCTTTGAGCTGAAACCTCGAACTCCAGAAGATGCCCACTATCCACAGGAAGAGACAGGTTACACTGTGCCTGGCTAGTCCTCCTCCTTTCCTACTGAGTTTCTCATTTTGCTAATTACTTAACCCAAGTTCTGCCTCCTCGAACAAGTCCTTTCTTATCCCCAAACCAGTTAGAGAGTTGAGTCATCAATGTTTTCAAGTCCTACTAGGTACTCCTACCGTTAACTTAATCCTTCTTGCCTATAAAAGTTGAAAGTAAAGAGGAGTCCATTAAAACTATATAGTTTCCCTGCGAACCATGTCAGCCAAGTGGAAAGGTCTGACCAAGAGTGGTATTGGCAGTATGGGAACAGGTGGTCTCATTGTGAATGATCACAAGAGAATTTCTTCTACCCAGTTTTTAGTGTTGTTGGAGGGTTCAAATAACTGCATCAGGAAATCCTCCAAATTCAAGATGCTCTTCATCCTGCCTTAACATCTTTCCTATCAAAATACTTGAATCAGAGGTAACTTTTGCTCTCATATTCCTTCTAATTAAGACCTGCTATACCAGGGGTGACCTATTTTGTATCTGTTAGTAAGGAGTGATCAAGGTATTGTCTACCTACTCTGTTATACCCAAGGTTTGAGAAAGGGAACAAAACAGGAATCCAGAAAAGAAATGTGTATATAATGAAGTCTGTACTGTTTTCAGGAACATAGACTAAGGGCTTGGAGCAGGGCACAGTGTTTCTCTCAGGCAAGGAAAAATGAAGACCGTGCCTAGGAACTGGGAAAGGAGAAAGGCATCCTCTCTGGGCACCTGAGGAGAAATATGATTCCAGTAGGAAAGGGCTTTGAATATATATGTGTGTGTGTGTGTGTGTGTGTGTGTGTGTGTGTATGTGTGTTTAATGTGACTGTGTCCTGATGGGCTGGCAGAAGGACAGCCTCCCAGGGGTGCTCCTCTAGAGCTTGGGCCTCTGGTCTCCCATAGTGAGTCTGGGACAGAATGAGGTTTACAATAAACACCCTTGCCAAGCCACAGAAAGAACTTCTGGTTGCAGAGGCCACCTGCCGCCCAGATAACAGACTGACAGACCTCAAGGCAGAGGTCCCTGGTTAGCCAGCTCTGTCGTTAGGATTGCCATAATCAGCTTTGCACTTACATGTGGTACAACTACCAATTATATTATAAAAAATAAACATTTAACTGCTTCTTCATAGGAATTCGTTTATTGTTAAATATATGATTTCTGGCAGAGAAGAAGGTTCAGTGGCATAAGCACCTGCCTGGCAAGTACAAGGTCCTGAGTTTGATCTCTGGTAAATAAATAAATAAATAAATAAATAAATAAATAAATAGAAATTCTGTCTCACACGCAGCTCTGACGAGGAGACCTTTCCTGTACCCTTCCAGGTGTGATGACCCCTCATATTCTCCAGAGAATAGGCTTAACTTTGTGGCCACATGGTTTCCCAGTCCTTGTGTGGAGTGTGGAGGACAATGGGTGTCAGCGGCAGCAAGCCATCACTGAGCATGCACTCTGTCAGCATTGTGCTGTGTACTCTACAGCACAATCCTATCTAGCCCTCACCACGGTTCTATAAGGGTGGTACTATTTTTGTTCCCATAGAGTTTGTTTGTTTGGTTACAAACAAAATCCTGAGGCTAAGAAATATAATGAAATTTGCCTTAAAACACAAAAAGCAAGTGACAATATAAGGCCATGAAAGCAGTTACGGCAACAGGAATAAAATCATGACCACCATGCACATGAACTGCCTGGAGACCATTCGGTGGGAGGGATGCTATCAGAAGAGAACACTGGCTCACACTGGGCAGGCTGGCCATCTACCTAGAGGACTCTCTGAGCCAACAGAACATGGGAGTTAACAGCACGGGATTTACAGCAAAACTGGTGAGCTTCAAAGCCTCGTATCACAGGCAGCTTAATATTTTAAAATAAATATCAATGTTAGCTGCTAGAGTTTGGATCTGAAATATCCCCCAGAAGCCCATATGTTGAAGGCCTGGTCCCAGCTTAGAGCTTAGGACAGGTGCTGGGTACTTCAGGGATGGAGGCTGCTGGGAGGGTTTCTGATGACTGGGAGTATGCTTGTGAGGAGGACAGCTGGGCCGGGCCTCTTTCTGTCTCTCTTTGGCACATTCCACCATGTGGGAACTACGCTTCCTCTGTCAAGCACCTCAGTCGTGAGGTGTACCAAAAACAAGGGGCCAATCGATCAGGGAATGGAATTGACAAAGCTGCAAGCTGAAAATAAAGAGCAAATACCAGTCTGTCTTCTTTGTAAGTTGATTATTTCAGGTGTTTTATTATTCCAGGAAATAGCTGACTAGCACAGTATCTGAAAAAACCTGTGACGCAATGTATAGCTCAGGCTATTAAAAGGATCAGGGCCTGATGCGTGAGAAGCCTGACATGTGTGGGACAGAGGAAGTATCCCCAAGCCGGGCAGTTACCACTGCCACAGCCCTGAGTTGTCTTGAAACAAGGAAAATGGCATTGGGTGAAGAATGAAGGTGATCTGAAAGTGTTCACATTATTCCATTATCTGTGACAAGCATGCTGTTCTAATGTAAGGTGTTGATAATAGATTTCAAAGGAGATCTTGGGTTTATGAGAAGTCTCTGTACTGTTCGTATACCAATTCTGAAAATCCAAAACTTTCCTAAATTACTTTATTAAAAAATAATAGGCACTGCTTCTGTGTCTACGTCTGAGTCCTGTTGTTTATTTTTAGATCATAATTGTAGTTCTCTAAAAAATAAATGTACACAATGTGCACAAAGGTATTCTCAACTACACCTGGAAATCAATCCATTTTTAGAAAAGCAAATGGTTAGGCTAATATCAGCCAGAAGAAGAACAATTACATGTTGGCTTGCATTTCAGACAAGCTGTGGGACCAAATCTGGTCCAACTTTTTTTAAAGCTTAAATATTCAAAAGGCTAATGATTTTGTCTGCATTTTTAAGTAGAAATGGCATCATTTCCATAAATAATGATCAGAATTCATTTGGAGAACAGTACAAACACAAAGCATCTTCATTTGCTGAAAGCTTCCTGACAACATGAACGTTAGAGCATGTATTGAAGGCTTGGTCCCAGTTCAGGGCACTACCACAATGTGAACTCTATAGTTCCAAATGTGTAGACCAGTTGGTCAAACAAAGTACATTTTTTTTTAGTATTCTGTCTGTCTGTTTGGTTAAAACTTTAAGCTTTTGAAGTAAAAACAGTATGAAATGAAAGTTCTTTAGTTCTGTACTTTGTTCTCTAAATGGTTGGCTCTGTTTAGGTTCACTCCAGTGGACCCCTGTTCAGAACAGTCAGCCCTTTGCTCACCATCAGATACATGGCATTTAATCAACTCCTGTAAATGATCAGTCTATGTAGCAAAGATATCCCTCATACCCACCAACCCATTTGCCTGGACACACTACTCACACCAGTCTTCAATCCTTTGCTTATGGCTGCTAGAACATTTGCACAGAATCCCTCTGCTTGGAGAAGAGACCAAGAGCATAAAGAAGACTAAGTGCTTTCTTTGAGAAGCAACCTTTTAACACTGGGGAGAAATGGTCTTACTTGCTTTTGAAGTAGAATGCTGCACAGAACATGCCCACGATGACTATTCCAAAGATGATACATGAAATTGACAGCACCTGTCTTTGATAAACTTCTTCACTCTCTGTGAATTTGAAAAAACAAAATTAGATGGATGCTAGCAGGGCACAGCAGCGACAAACTCTGTCTTTGTACTTCTGAGCTGGTAGGAGTCTTTCAAAGTCAACGTTTTTGTTCCTGCCATGAATAGGACAAAAATATGAGGACATTAATATGGTTCAGTCTCTTTGCAGAGCTCTAAAGGAGAACTGTTGCTATATGTACAGCTTTTCCATCTGCATGGTTGAGTCAGGACTTGCACATATCACAGTTGTACATCATATTATCCAGTAATTCTAGGACTTTAGGACACATAGCACTTATGGGACTTGGAAATCAAAGTGAAACCAAAATGAATGGACACAAATACAGAACACAAAAAAATATTCTTCTGATCTTTCCAGTTTCAGTAATGGTTGCTTATTTTGGTCCTTGGCTATATCCCCTGTTCATCTTCTCACTGTCACAATTAACATCACTCATGAAAGGGAATCTCAATTGGCATATCAATATTTTATTTTCCCACTCTGTGAGCTCCTCAGTACCAAGCTCTGGCAAAGTAGACTTCAGCTTCCATTACCAATATAGTATTTTACCAATTTTTATCTTTAAAAAATGTGCAAAAACAAATGTTTCTCTTTTTAGTCCCTATAGTTTACACTCTCAGCTCCTTTTCCAAATATCTTCTAAAACATCTTCCATCTCATCAAGAGCTGTACCTCTGTAGGCCCTAGTATGTTCTCTCTGGAAATTATCTTCCTTTTGCCTTCTCCTCTCCCTTTAAGCAGCAAGGACCATGACACCTAACTATTCATTCAGTCACTTAGAAATACCCTCAACTGAATTTCTTCTCTTTCTTTTCCACTTAATTGGCAAAATAGCCATGTATGAATACAAGAAAGCTTCCTGGGTTGGGGAGATGGCTCAGTAGAATAAGTGCTTCCCTGGCAAGCACAAGGGCTGGAGTTCAATCCATGGTTCCGCCAAAAACAAACAAAAAATAAATATTCTCATGCCTACCTGGAGCACCTCAGCCCTAGGGAAGAAGACTGCATAATCAGGCAGGATGACATCAATGAAGGATGATATCACAGTGCTTACTAGATATGTGGTAGTCATGACAACCTCATCCGCCTATGTCCCAGTATCTTGATGAGCATCTATATCATCTCCATTCTATATCTGACATAACCTGCTTCCCTCATCTCATACATCATGAGAACAGACAAGAATGATTTTGTTTTTCTTTTTGTGGTGCTGGGGATTGAACTCAGGACCCTGCGCTTACCAGGCAAGTGCTTATTCTACTGAGCTATCTCCCTGGCCCCTTCTTAATGATTTGTGACAAAGGACCATTCCAAAAAGAATGACATTGCAAAAATAGTAGAGACATGTCCACAGAAATAAACTTTAACCAGAACCTCATAATTGTACAACTATACATTTGCAAAGGATTGTATGACTAACTATAAATTTTTAAAGCATGAAAACTCAATAAAACATAGCAGCAAATATTGATATGATGAGTTTGAAAAGACTTCCTATGACAACAATATAAAAATTACTTGTGTACAAATGGATGAAGTGGACTACTCTACAAGTCACATGTGTTCATTTGCTCTTCGAAGATGCAGCTATGAAAAAGAATAGGAATAGGAATTTTACCAACACTAATTAAATCACAATTTCATTGTGTTAGCCAAATGTCTGTAAAATATTTTTTGGTAGAAAAACTGGAAGACAAGTACCCATTAGTAGGTGAGTGGATAAAGTGGGATATGTCCATGCAATGGAATATTACTCAGCAGTCAAAAGAAATGCACAATTCATATAAGCACCAGTAAGTCTCAATCTGAGAACAGTTATAAATGAAATCAATCACATGAAAAGTGCATGTGGGATAAATTCAATTATACAACATTTTGGAAAACAAAAATTATTCTCTTAGTGGGAAGTCTGGTTGCAAACACCTAGGATCCAGATTAGGGAGGAGTAAGCAAAACCAATATGTAGTGACATGAGGATATTTTGGGAGTCATGGGTGTGTTTACTGCCCAATTACAATGACAGCTTCATGGCTGAAGAGAGATGGCAAGCTGTGCCAAACCACAAATTTCAAATAAATGGTTCATTTATGTTGATTACATCTGCTGTTCAGCTTTAGGGTTTGGGCTTCCCTTAATTGGCACTGATGCCAATCTCAAGCCAGACAAGCAGGCCACTGAGTGGCTCATGGGCACAGGATTGGCCTTGCAGTGGCTCTAGATGTCTTTCAGAATGGCCCTTGGAACTTCTAGAAGCAGGGGAAGTAAGCTCACCACCTGAGGCATATTCTTCCAGCAGTGAAACTGAGGTCAGTGCTTCATTCTTTATTAGAAAAATGGGGAAAATAAAATGGGTACCAGACCCCAAAAAGCCATCACGTTTTCTGCACTTACAAACTTCAAATTCTAGGGCCTGTTCTCCTTTTCTGGAGACTACGCACTACAGTCTTTCTTTAAATACAGCTGTACATTTTCCAATTTCTTCTCTTGTACAAGTGTATTGCATATGAATATTTGAGAAGTAGCTCTCTTTTCAGACTTTGTTTACATTTACGGTTATTCCACATTTCTGAGTAAGTGGAAGAGGACAGCCATATGGTCTCAGCAGGGTTGGGTGGACATTTTAAATTTGAGAAGATTCAAGCCACACAGAATATGTCATGTAGACCTTGTTTGGGTTAGTGTCATCTTAAAAAATGTCATCTTTTCTCCCCCGCAATTGAAGCCTCATTAAATGTTTGGGGTTAACTTGGAAACAACCACCCAAACAGAAAACAGTGCCAGACCCAATGCACTTCCTTGGACACGAGCTGAAGGCGAGGAGGGAACAACATAAATCACACACCATCGCCTCCCCACCTGCCTCTGCCAATAAAGGGATTTTGAAGGTGACAGATGATAATGCTCCTTAAAACAGGATAAAACCACACTAAGACCATCCTCACTAGAGGGAATGACTTCCATGTAAAATCTATGTGGTGTATTTCTTTCTATTTGAAGCTAGTCAAAAGTAGCCTGGGGTAATGCAAACCAAAAAAAAAAAAAAAAAAAAAAATCAATTCTGTGTTTAAATCAAGAGTGAAATTAAAATAGTGAGGCCACAGAGCTGTATGTGGAGCCGGCTGCAGCTCCAGCAGTCGTACCCTAATGACTCAGCGCTACGTGAGAACTCGGTCACCTGGGGCCTGGAAGGCTGCTGATTTGAGGTTCCACATTAATTGTGCCCCCTGAGTGACCTGACCAAGTACATCACTATCTTTTTGAAGCTTTCAAATCCCTCAGCTGATCAAAACCAGTAATACTTTATGTTTACTATGAGAATTATACTAAATATAAGGGGTTTTGTTCCTTTGGGTTGTTTAAAGTAATAGGGGTTGAACCTATTGTTTTTGAACTTAGTGACATCCCCATCTTTTAAAAGTTTCCAAAAATTGGTTTTGAGCCAGGGTCTCACTCAATCACCAGAATTTCTAGCCCAGGCTTCTTGAACTATCAGTCTTTCCATTTGAGCCTCTTAGAATTCTAGGAATTCTGGAAGTGCGGGTGTGTATTCAAGTAAAGTTTCTTAAGAATACAGTATATACTGTGTATACTACAAATACATATGATACAGTGCCATTTGATCAATGCCAGTTCTAGGTTTGTTGTTGTTGGTTTTTTTTTTTTTTTTTTTTTTTATCTGTCTCTCTGAAACCTATAATGTTTAGGTTATCAAAAATACTTGCTATCTTCCTGGCAAGTGCAAGGGCCCAAGTTCAATCCCTGGTATCACATGCCATGCAGGCCCCAAAACCAGGTATGGGGGGCGAGGAGATGGCTCAGTGGAATAAGCGCTTCCCTGGCAAGCGCAAGGGTCTGAGTTCAATCCCTGGTTCCGCAAGTGTCAGACTTCACAGAGAGGCTTTCCCTGCTTACTTTCATTAAGAGAGATGCTTTGGGGCCGGGGATATGGCTCAGTAGGATAAGCGCTTGACTGGCAAGCGCAGGGATCTGAGTTCAATCCCCGGTTCCGCAAAAACAAAAAACACACACAAAAAAAAACCCAGGTATGGTGGTTCACACCTATAATCTCAGGGCTGGGGAAGCTGGGACAGGGGTACACTATGAGTCTGAACTGTGTAGCAAGACCCTGAATCAGATAAATACATAAATAAATATATAATATTAAAAAATACCTGTTAACTGCATGATAGAAGAAATGTTTTATGTGAGAATAGAAATCAACCTCTGCTCTTAAACATTTTAGTTTATTTGTGATGTTAAAGCAATATCATAAAAATGAGAGGCATATGATATGATTGAAATTTCTGGAGTTTGAGTTTGTCATGATAAATGACTGTTGAGTTTAACAGCATGAGAAAACAGCTAATGAGCCTGCCTATGAGCAATCAGTGTCACTGTGACCTGGGTGTGGCAGCACAGGGCTATACTCCCGACCACTCAGGAAGCTAAGGCAAAGGCACCCTTGAGTTTATTTAGGTTTTGTCACAAGCTCCAGAACAATGTAGGCAATATAGTGAGACCCCCATCTTAATAAATAGAGCAAGTAAAATTTGTTGTGAACCAGAATTCTATAGCAAAAATAGTAGGAGATTGAGAATCAGGAAGACTGCAGTTGAAATTTGAACTTTGCCCTTTTTCCACAGTACAATTTGGCAAGTTATTTGATCTGGGTGCATTTTAAGTTTTCATCCATCAAGTAGGAACACTAAGGCCCTTTATTCCAGGCCCTCCCCCTGGTACTCCAATATGACCAGTACAGGGTCCAATATCTAGAAACTGCTCAATAAATACTTGTTCCTGAAAAATAATTGTGTTTTCTAAGATAGAAGGGACACATTCTAAGTAGCCACTTGAAGAGCATAACAAACACCAGTAGGACTGGCAAGCTTTATCAGAAAGGAAAACAGGTAACATCAGTGAAAGTGGAAGTTCTCTAAATTAAAGCAAGAGAACAACCATGAATAGAGGCTCCTCCGGG